CTACATATGCCTTGAAGGCTAGGACTAAGAACTATTCAATTTRAAATTCCTCAGTACCCAGCATAGTTGTAGATAAACATATAAATGATTCTATAAGTGTAAAACTAAATGAATAGTAAGTGCCTTAAATACATTATGGAGTTTCTTTGTAAGGCTGGCCTGCCTCTAGAGGTTAAAGGTGGTCATTAAACAAGGTGGTCTCCTGTCCTAAACATTCTCATTTCAACCTATTAAATGTAAATAATCTGAAAAAGAATCTGTGAATTTGTGGTTGTTTTTTTYCTCTGTATCTTTAATTTCTTTGTCATTCTGATATATATAAAATTTACTCKCTTTCAAAATATATTCTCTATTTTTTCTTTTTTCATCTTTCAGTTATTCATCCCATAGACTGACTTATTCCCTTTATTCATTCATTGGTTTCTTTCTCCTCCTTCCCTGTTTCTTTCTATTATATTGATTTCTTTTTCCCTCTTTCCCTGTTTCTTTCTTTTATATTATACACATTCATGATTTCTAAATCTATTTACTTTTAGCTATTAAGAATAGTTAGAAAAACAGTTTTTGACAATACAATTTTTTAGCTTGGATGTACATTCAAGTTTGTGGTTTCTATAAGGTATACAATAGTGCCCTCTAATGCCATTTTTWAAAAAATTATACCATACCTGTTTTTTCAGGGTGTTAATTTCTGTCCACTTAGGAACCCCATCTCAAAAATGAAAGGCTATAAAAATAGTTCAGTTTTTAAATAAACATATTATTATGCAATATCTTTAAAATCTTCCTGATTATACTGTCATATTTGTTATTTTTGTGGCTTGAAACTCATCAATGTTTAACACAATTAATAGAGATGCTTAATAATGAAATGACAAATTATAAGTGTCATGATTAAAATAATAGTTCAGATGTTAAAGTATGTACCTTATCAACACAACTGATGCATTTTCAGACTTTTTGCCTTCAAGATTTCATAAACATTGCTTTAATAAGTGTATTTTAAGGGTATTGCTTTAATTTTTGTTGCTTTTAAATTTTTTCTCAGATAAAACTATATTCTTACCTAGAGACTAATAATTGTATGTAATTTCATTCATTTTAGAGCTTGCAAGTCTTTCATGCCCACATAAATCTATAAATGTATTTTGCTTTATTTCTAATAAAAGAGTAGACTTAAAAATTTTACCTAATTGTTTCCTCAAGTATTGGGAAATTTTCTAATATACTGAAAGTGAATAGTCAATTCCTTTTGTCCAAACCAAAAATAACACACACAACTGGTGCTGCTCAGTTATCTAAATAATTAGGGATCTCAATATTTTCTCATTGCTTTTCCTAAGACTATCTTGAAAATGAAATACTAGTAGGAAATTACATAKTTGAACTGTAGAGGTAAAAATATATTTAGTCTTAACCAAAAGACTGAGAAGCAATGAGGTAAAAATAAAATAGGATTATGAATACATTAGAAATTTAAGTCTATTAAATAAATCTATCAAGGGTCAACAACACAAAATTACCAAGCAGAGAAAGACATTTTGAAAGTAATACCATTTCCTTAATTTAGTTACGGCAGGGACGAAAAAAGAAAAATACAAAAAGTCCTAAACAGAAAAATGAAGATTTAAGAAAAAGGAATTCACCCTGTGTATGAGCTGCACTATATCTTGGAAAGAAAAACTTAAAACACTTCATTCTTATTGACAGATTTTGAATTAGCTGCAAACTCTGTAGGGAAAGATCTTGGTGTCATCRGAGACAGATCAATGAAAACATTCCCTCAATATCCTTCACATTTCAGCTCTCATCACTAGCTCAAGACATTGTTCTCTGCTGTATTAGCTACGCTCCTAGCTTCTGTTAACTTGAAGCTTGGCCATCTCCTCTATACACATGTACTGTACAGGGTTTTCTCTGAAGGATGCCATAATATGCCTGAGGCACCCGACGACCTTGGCCTCCTTCCTCCCTCCTCCCCACCCTCACTCCACTTTTCACAGTCAGGAGTCCTACAATTCCCTCTCCTAATCACTCCAGGGCCAAGTACCAGACATCCAGGGCCAGACTCTATGCCCCAGAGGCTGCGGGAATTACTCAGACCATACAAATCTAAACTTACCTGCCTCACTTGCTGCTTCCCACAATAAAAGCTTTTGTCTATAGTTCTTCACACCCTCTGTGCCCCCCTCTCCTTGACCACAGGCTAGTTACTAAGCCTGTCTCTTAGTGAATTCAAGGAATCATTCTGCATTAAAGTCTGTTATCAGAAAATATGAAAATTCTCATAGCTAGAAAAGTTTCTGTCAGTCAAGCCTAAAATAAACATTAAAAATGCAATAATAAACATCATGAAAGAAGTGAATAGAAGATAAAGAAAAAGAGAGAGAAACCTATGTGGTCTACTCCTTTTTCTCTTCTTGGGAACTATGAGTGACAAACTGTTTAACACCTATAGCAGCCATCTCCTGATCTGTTGGCCCTGCTATACTTTAAATTTTTTATTTAAAAAACCATGTGTCAAACCACATGCCTCTCAATTCTTCATACAGCTTTGGTTTAGACTCTAGTTTTAGTTTCAGATTAGATCTCATGGATAAGAAATATAGACCATTTAGGTTCATTTCCTTCCTGTAAATTGATATCACTATTATATAGCAAAAGCCTATTGATCCAGAGTTCAGGTTTGCTTGTCCCTCCCSCAACCCAGTGCCTTTCTATTTAGAATAGTGTATTTTCCATCTCTGCAAATTCTGTTAGGTCTTGCAAAAAGCCTAATTTGTCTTTTCATTATGCTGATAATTTTCTCTACCTTCCAGAGCATACAAAATATATTTTAATAACTGTTCTAACATACTTCTATTTGATTTCCATAATCCTCTTCACTTATTGATGTGTTTTTGTTAATTAATTTTTCTTTTGGTCATGAGTCACATTCTCTACTTTTTTGTCATCTTGAGAATTTTTTAAATAAATGCTGAATATTGGGGATTTTATGTTTTGTTTGTTTGTTTTGCTTGAGTGTGTGTGTGTGTGCATGTGTGTGTGGGTGTGTGTGTGTGGTATTAGTTACTAAACCCAGAGATGCAGGGAATTTCATGTTTTGACTGCTGTGTAGTATTGTAGTTTTTACAGTGTTAGTTTCATGCTATCATTCAGTTAAGTTCCTCAGGTTCAGTCAGACCCTTCTGAGCTAGTTATGGGGCCTGTCAGAGAGTGAAGACTGAGCAGCCTTTTGTCTGTGGCTAATTGGGCCTCAATACTAGGGTGGGAACTCTTCCTGATGCTTCCTGTTTATAAGTTGTTCCTACTGCAGCAGGTGAGAAAAAGCAAGCCTGTCTCTTAGTGAATTCAAGGAATCATTTGGCATTAAAGTCTGTTACCAGAAAATATGAAAATTCTTCAAACCAGTGTTTTAAGATTTCACTTCAAAGCTAGAAAAGTTTCTGTTGGTTAAGCCTAACATAAAYATTAAAAATGTAATGATAAACATCATGAAAGAAGTGAATAGAAGAGAAAGAAAAAGAGAGAGAAATCAATTGCTGTTCTATAAAAACAACAAAAYATGACCAGAATGATCAGGACAAAAAGAAAGAAGATAGGAATTTCCAATATCAGGAATAAAAAAAGGAGGTAGCATCACCGTATATACATAACAACTGACAGAATGTTTAATAGAAGAAAATTTAGAAAACCGAAATAGACTCATACATCTATGATGTTTATTTTTAACAAAGGAGCACAGTAATTTATGGGAGGAAAAAATGAGTTTTTCAACAATATTGTTAGAATAATTAGATAGCCATATGCTAAAAGAAGAAATAATAGACATGAATGTCACTTCAGACTCAAAAAAAATCTACTTGAATAGAAATGAAAGTCAATGTCAGAGATAAAACTCTAAAAGTTCTAGAAGAAAATAACAGTCATACTTGCAGTTCTGTCTTTCACAAAGGTTTCTTAAATAGAACACAGAAAACATGAAATATAGACGTGCAAAATGATAAACCAAATTGATTCAAAATTAAATGTGTCTGCTGTTCACAAAATACTGCTAAGAAAATGGAAAAATGATGCATCTACCGAGAGAAAATATTTGCAAACTGAGAGAATTCTTTGGCAGCAGAGCTTGCCTTCATGAGATATTAAAGGGAATGCTTCACACGGACCTCAGATGGAAAAGAATCTACACAAAGTGATGGCTGCTATTTTTGGTGGTCACTGCCATTTCTCAGGTAGTTCTTCCTGTAGCTGTGGAAATCAATACTCAGCCAGAGTCTGAGGCAGCTCTTCTTTGCCATCAAATTTTAGCCACCTTCTTTTTCCATACTGTGATCTCTAGTTCCTCAAATGAGTGAGACACTGTGGACACACCTGCAARATGTAAGCTCCTACAATCCCAGGACCCACTCTGTATCTCTTCTCCCAGAGATGACAGAGCCATATTGCCCGTTGTCCAGGGTTGGAAACTCCTTGAATCACATATTTTGTAGAATTTTCTAATTGTTAAAATATTACAGGTACATCTGAATTCTGTTTTTTTTTTTCAACTGGTCGGAAGGAAAAGTTGGCATCTCTAGGTTTTAAAAAGTAATAGATGGAGAAATCAATCTTAACAGTGAAATAAATTTTATCTCTCTCTTTCTAGTGATATAATTTTTAATATATTAAATTGGACTTCAGGATTAAAATGTGTTTCAGAATTGTATGTAATTGTACATATTTTCTCCAGTTCTAAATATACAGAAACAAATCTTTGATGAAACATGTAATTAATTCAAACATAAAAATATTCTCAACATCTTTTTTTAGTTTTATTGTAAGAGGAAAATGTTTCATAATTTTTATGGGGCAATTTTACATAGATATAGTATAAAACATTTATTTCACCAATAGTTATTTTGTGAAGGGTACTTGTTAACTTCTAAATATTTTAATGTTAGTTTGCTATGCATTTACATTTTAAATGTAAATGTACCTGAAATGAAATAAATTGCAGTTTACATTCCATTATAAGCTGGTCCTCCTCCAACTTCGGGCACCATCCAGTTAATATTCTCACTTGGATCTTTAATATCACATGTTTTACAGTGCACACAGTTCTGAGCATTTATCTGTAACCGAAATCCATCACCTTGTTCCAAAGGTACAAATTCATAAACTCCTGCAGGGCAGAATCGCTGCTCAGGCCCATCATATATTGATAGATTTCTGTTTATAGGTATGCTGTCATCCTTTAAAGTTAAATGTGCTGGCTGGTCATGTTCATGATTAGTACCACTTAAAGCCACAGATGACAAGAGGTCAAAACTGGTCTGTCCATCAGGTTTTGGATACTCAATAGTTGTGCAATCTTTGGCTGGCTTAAGCTGATCAGAGTCAGAACCTTTATGTTTTAGGGTCCATGGTTCCATTCCTCTCAATATCCAGTAAAATATTCCAGTGTAAATCATCCCTCCATATAAACCCAATGCTCCATGGCAGGAAGGTCTTATATTTCTAACAGAATACAGCTCTTTCCACACCCAAGATTTCTTCAAATTGTCCTCATACTCGATTACATGGAGTCCTATTGTCTTTGATTGGAGATTTTCACTAGTTAGTTGATGAAAAATTGAGTCTGCTGCCAAACTTCCACTTTTCATTGCTGTATGGATACCTTTGATCTTGGGAACATTCAAGAAGCCAGGGCTACAACCAATTAGTAAACCACCAGGAAAGGTGAGTTTTGGTATAGAMTGAAAGCCACCTTCATTGAGAGCTCTGGCTCCAAAGGCAATTCTTTTCCCACCTTCCAATGTTGGCTGAATGCTGGGATGATGTTTCCACCTTAGGAATTCTCTGAATGGACTCAGGTAAGGATCTTGATAGTCTAGACCAACCACAAAACCAAGAGCTACTAGGGGTTCACCTTCATTTAAATGATAGAGGAAAGCGCCTCCATAAGTATGCCTGTCCAAGGGCCATCCAACTGTGTGATCCACTCTCCCAGGTTTACACTTCTTTTCATCAATAATCCATAACTCCTTCAGTCCAATCCCCTAGGTTTGAGGATCACAAATGGCCCTCAAATCAAATTTCTTGTATAGTTGCTTGGCTAGGTGTCCAAGGCAACCCTCCACAAAAACTGTGACTTTGGCATGTAGTTCTAGTCCCCGCTCAAACGCTGTCTTTGGTGTGCCATCCTTTTGTATTCCTACATCATAACTTTAGCCAGAGTAGGTGTATCCTGGCAGGTGATGGCGCSCCGCCTTGGCATAGAGGTCCAGCGCCCTCCGCGAGCCTCAGACAAGTTCTTCCGTGGTGTGGGACAGAGAAAGTTCTGATCATTTTGAACATGTTGATGCGGCTAGCCAAGCTGTCCTGCCGGGCCTGTCATTGCTTTCATGCCTTAAAAATTAAGAAAAATTATCTACCTCTCTGTGCTACAAGATGGTCTTCAACTTCTGTTATACCTCAAATCTCAACATCTTTTAAATGCTTCATATATTAAACCCTTTTCAATGARTCCTATAAATGAATTCCTCCATCTTACCAAGGAAATACCAAAACCGAAATGTGTTTACACTATACATTATGCATAAGGTCTCACTCTATATGTAACATGTTTAAGTTAATGTGCTAACTATAGAATAGGTAAACTTAGAATATTTTCATTGTGACCTTACTAMATAGAAGGACATTGGAGAGCATAATTTGAAAGCTTCTTAGAAAACTTGTTCTGTGTTAGATTGGACTGATTCTTTTTATCCTCTGAGAATATTTCTCTATAGAAAGCAAAGGCCTTCATAATTATTCCACTGACTTCACAACTGCTTTAAATGCAGTATTAAATGTTCAATTTATTTTTCATAAATATGGATGAACATAATAGTATTTTCTCTCACTAAAATATATTTTCAAAAATAAAAGCAAAGCACATTTGTCTCCCCTTTACCTTTTCTTTCCTAAGTTCATCCAACACTGGGACCAAAATATAATTCAATAAAGGTYGCTTGAATAATAATAATATTCTTCAACTCTTAAAAGACTTCAAACATTGATTTCCCAAGTTAATGAAATCACTGAGAAAATTGGGAAAAAATAAAAATCACTGTTTGTAGAGAAATTTGGATGGACCCTGTGGTGCAGCATACTAGAAACACATTTTTTCAGTCTTCTCAGCTCTATCTGTTGAATAGACATCTTCACATTTCAAAAGGAAACTAACATTCAAAGAAAAGTTCACATGAAATTCTCCAAGGTCACATAGCTAGCAATTGTTAGATGGTGATACCTTGGTTTTCATCACCTCCATGCATCAACTCACTTCTGAATACCCATGAGGAAGCAGTTGCTTTATATAATTTGGACAATTCCTTCGGCACCCATTAATCAAATCATCTTTCTACATAATTAAACATGAATATTCTTATGTAAAGTTCAAAACAACATCAAACTATCATGTACACTTGATGTGTGTATCATGTGTTTATAATTTTCTGTAAATACATAAGAACATTTTGTGAGAGACTCATAAAGGTGTGTTAAGTCATGGAAATTATCCCAGGTTCCTATTTTAAAATAAACTGGACACTTTATGTAGTCTAAAAATCTTCTGTGAATAACTGTGTTTAGATAGGATGTTTGCATGGTTCTTTTTATACACTGAAAACAAGTATGTGTTGTCAACGATGACCGGTGTACATTATTAAAGCAAAATATCTTCAGGGAAGATTATCCATCATAAGATCTGTTAACACATGGAAATGCATCTGTGAAGAAATATGTTTTTCTTCATTTTGTTTTTGTTGTTATTGGTACCAGGGATTGAACTCAGATGCAACCAACACCAAGCCACATCCCCAGCCTTATTTTGTATTTTATAGAGACAAGGTCTCACTGAGTTGTTTAGCACATCACTTTTTGCTGAGGCTGACTTTGAACACACAATCCTCCTGTCTCAGCCTCCCGAACCGCTGGGATTACAGGCATGCACCTTCTTAACTATTCAAAAGCGTCTTTGTTGCCTAGAGCATGTATTTATCTTTAACTTGGCCTTTAGAATAAAATTGTCCTCTTTTTTTCAATTGAAAGACACCACTACTTAACTGGTACTTCGATGTTAGGTGTTTTTATTTGTTTTTACTATCCAATAGTACATGAAATTAATTTTATGAAATTAGTAATGAAAAGTAAGAATGGCTTGCTTCCAAATACATGGCTGCACATTATAGACCATTCTCTCTATGACTCTCTCTGATGTGAATTAATCCTCTCAACATATATATTTGCATTAACTTATACACTCTCAAACATAAAATCATGCATGGAATCAAATTTCTACCTCAGATAGCTAAAAATGTTCATGCCATATGAAAAACACTGTATTAATTTTAGTAATTTTAAGAGAATTTAAAATTTAAAAATTTTCATACAAACCTTGGTATTACAACTTTAATTGAAATAACAAGTATGCCCCCAAATTAATCAAATACTATGACAATTTGATATGAAAATTATGATATGTCAATGGTTATTTTAAAAAAGACTCATGCATATTCTTTTGAGTTTTGGTAAAGTTTAAATTTCTATTTGCTAAGRTTAGTGTCACAGTGATACACGGGATTGATGATTTTTCCTCAGTTATCTTTGAACATGTTCAGAGTGCCCCAAAACTTTCAATTTTCCAGACTACTTTGGTATTATCAGCAAATTTAAAAGTCATGTCACAAATTCCATATATAACTTTCTATTCAACTAGTGAACTCAGTTATCCATACTGTAGTACAACTGCCAAAGCAAGAGACAGGATAAGAGATAACATCATATAAAATGCCAGTTATTAACCTGATCTACAAGTTCAAGCCAGACATACTGCATATGGTAAGCCAGCCCTTTATTTATTTCTAAGTGCACAAACACACACACACACACACACACACACACACACACACACCTACAATTAATATATAAAGTCTGTGCTAATTCTTAATTGGGCTGCAAAACCAAGAACTTTGCACATGAAAAAGTATTAGAGATTTTAAAAAAACTGTTGTTGTACCTACTTTCAAAAATAAATTTTAAACAGTACTTGCATTTGTGTAGTACATTGGTGGTGTGAAGGCAGGAGAGAGTGGGCAACAAGTGACCACTTCTAGAATTTCTGCCCTTCTATTGAGCAGGTATAACCTGCCTTAAAAGACTGAAACTTTTGTGTACCATGAGTCTCTGTGAAGCACTCAGGAGATCAGAGCCCTTCTATCCCATGATCAGATTTTCATTGTTTAATCTTGTACTCCTTCAATGTTGGTTGTAGAGATGATTTTAATCTGTGGAGCACCCCTGGGTCTCTAAGTGCTTTCCTACTTCTTTCCATCTCCATATCTTCCTTCCTTATGGAGCCATATAKTTAGGTTTTTCTTTTAGGAAGGAGACTTCTACAAAAAGTCTCTGGATTAAATATTTGTCAGTTCCCTTTTCTTCACCATTCATGTTACACCTAAAAAGATTTAAATGATTTGTATTCAATAACTACAAAAATAATTTACTGTTAATTTTATCCAGACTTAACTTCATTAGTTAATCATATTTGATAAGATGCTGTCTTGATCCTTAATTAACACAGTACATTTCCCCAAGGAACTCCTCAAAAGCTTACTTGGGTTTACATTCTTCTTGTCTTTAATACTAGATGTTTTCTTTATTCATTCATTCCATAAATATTCATCAACATGCCAAGTGCCTACTGCTAACCAGATAGTATTCTCATACTTCAGATAGATCAGTGGATAAAAGGTAGGTAGATGTATATCTTCTCTTATGTAATTTAAAAGTATGTGTTTCAACAGAAGTTGAAGAGTACTAAAAAGAAAAATAGGTAAAAGTAGTGGATCTTGGGATTATTGGGAAAGGAGTGACTTTTAAAATGATGGTTACAATTGGCTTCACTGAGTTGGTCACATTTGAGAAAGATATGGAGGGGAATGAGACAATCTTGTAAATTYTTGGCAAGTTTGGTAAGAAGAGAGAGAAAAGAGAAATATTCTGGAAGGATGGGATCTTCTGAAGCCTCAGAAATAATTTTAATGGCTTTGTTTGACCTTTCTTTGTCATGCCACTGGAATATTTCAAGTAGAGACATGACACGATATGACTTTACATTTAAAAAAATTACCTCTTTTATTTTGAAAAAAGATTATGGGGACAAGGCTCAAAGCAAAGAGAGTAGATAGATAGGAGACTTTTGTAATGATCCAAGTAAGAGATTACAGTAGCCTGATTTAAGTTCAGTAGTACAAGATGGAATAAGAGGTCATCTCTGGATTTCTGAAGCATGCTCACAGTGTAGCCAGAAGTTTACCTGAAGAATGAGATGGGGTAAGTAAAAGAAGGAGAGAAGGCAAAGAGGATGTCAAGGCTTTTGCTAAGTAACTAAAGAATGGAAAGATAAATAGAACTATTTTAGAGGGAAAATATTATCAGACTTTTGGATAGTAAGGGCACCTGAGACCAAGGTAGCAGATACACAGCTTCTCAGTGAAAGAGGGATTTCTCTGGGWTCTAATACTGAATGCTCAAAGCAGCCTAGAGACTCAGAAGATTGGATAAAATAAAATGAAGGAATAAGCCACTGGCAGCAGCTACTGGAGCTGACACACTACAGGCAARTTAAGGGGGACTAGAAAAGCCACATTTCAGGGGGCCCATCGCAGTGCAGAGAAATCTGAGATCAAAAACACTGTCTAAACTTATCTGAACCTAGAGGGGCAAACAGTACAGGTCCTTGACAAACACACTCAGGTATTAAGTAAATGCAAGAGCTGTATCCTGACTGGCTCAAGGGGCAAGAGCCATCTTGGAGTCAGCGTACCCTCCATGACATCAGTAGGACTATGAAAATCAGGAAAAAGAAAAAGGAAAAAACCCCCACACAACTACCATATCCCTCAGGCACCTAGTGTGGGACATCGGGCCTGTCCAGCATATAGTGAGAGAAATTAGTGTGGAGTAGACTGTACCTAGGGAGAATGCAGTTGGAATGGCAAAGGGGAGCCTCTGTATCAGGCAGCTCAAGTGACCAGCCAAAGTCATCTGGCAGTTGAAGCAGGCGGGAAGGAGTATACTCAGGAACTACAACTAGGAAGGCCCAGATCCTAGGTACAATTGAGTACTGGATCGGCCCCCTGCACCACTGTTGGAGTTCTTGGTAGGCACCTGAGAACTAA